GGTGACCGTTGGGGAGACGACTGGAACGCCTCGACAGGGCAATCGTCCCACGAGAACAGTCACGCTTCCGCAGATCACTGTCGCTGGCTCGCACAACCAAATTACTACACCAGAACATAGTTATGTCATAGCTCTGCAAGGGCCTTCTCAGACCGAAAAAGATGGCTCCCAACAAAACAAACAATTTTCTCATTCAGTATTGTATCTCATCAGGCATCACATGTTTTCAGACTTCAGAGTGTTTCTTATGCGTTCCGTCAAAAAAAAAAAAAGCGCAGTTCGACTTTCTCCCATTGACTTTAGCGATCTCAAAATTGACCCGACCTTTCTGTCAGCAATGTCAAACTTGCAAAGTAAACGTTTCAAATACATATACTGTTGCCCATTGAAATCGTGTGAAATAAAGTGATCGGTTAGTCGATGCATTTAGATATGATGAGCACAGGAACTTTCCTTGAGGTAAGGTCACTTGACGTGACCTGGTGTTATGACCTTCAATTGAAAGACTTGGGCGGAAACAAATGGGTCATTTGAAATCTTAAAATGTCAGATTTTAACAATAATTGCGAACACTATCACGGCCAAATAGTGAGTGAGAAGGGAGCGATTCCCCAACCCCATGTTTAGCTCCTATAATTGAGCTAACTGCTAGAGCCTCGCGGAAAAAAAACGAGCGCTTGCGTCGTTACATGACACAGCGACTGTTACCCCATTTTAAAATATCGGTGACCTCTTAGGGCAGGTCAAGGGCCCCACGGCATTGGATCGGTTTTTGGTGAAAAACTTCGCAAAAAATGTTCGCATTATCGTCATTTCGATACAATCGTGTTGTCTGTTCTCAGACGCGTCGATTTATATGCTTTTTTGCTTAGGTGAAGCAATTTAGGATGTTTAGGGCAATGTCATGTTAGGGCAACACAGGTCATGAAGCTGTTGAAAGGAGGACATATTGCATAACATTTGATTCGGCAAGTCTTGCAGAGTTCATTGATGGCTGTCCCGACTGGCTAGCTCATTTTGCTCGGGAGTTATTGACGAAGCACTCCTATTGACGAGCACTCCGTCACGCAAGGTGAGCAATGCAAAAGTGAAGCATTAACCCTCGCTGGACCTATTGGTTTTCTACATACGCGCCGGCCGAGGGGGGGCGGGGGGGGGGCGGGTACGACCCCTCGCCGTTTCGCCCCTAGTGGAGCTAGCGCGTCGCGGAAAAAACGAGCGTGTGCGCCGTTACGAGACGCAGAGATTGATACCCGATTTTAAGGTCCTAGGTCAACCGGTGACCTCTGAGGTCAGGTCAAGTGCCCCAAGATACGGTTCAGTTTTTGGTGAATAACTTCGCAAAAACGGCCGCAGAGCGCCGATTTTGGCAGCATCGTGTTCGCCTTGCTCAGGCGCGTCGAATGATATACTTTTTGTTCGGGTCAGGTCAACTTGGGGTGTTGACCTCAGGTCAAGGTCAGGTCAGCACCCCCAGCCAACGAAGTTGGTTGAAAGAGGTCATGTCGCATATCATTCGATTCGGCAGGTCTTCCTGAGTCCACTGGTGGCTTTCCCGACTCGCTAGCTCAATTTGATCAAAAGTTATTGACGAAAAACTAATATGACCTTGATGACGTCATAAATGACGTCACACAAGGTCAACATTGCAAAAGTGACGCATCTAACCTTGCAAGGAGTGCATCAAATCACGATTCTGTGTGCTTGAGATAGTTGGAGATCGTTCCCGGTGCCAGAATAGTAGTTTTCATTTTTCCCCATTGACTTATAATGGTGAGGTCACGAAAATGACCTGACCTCATATAACCTTTAGGAAAAATCCGAGATATACAAGTTGTGAGCCTCATAATGGATACTAGATCCTGCAAGCTTCATTTCCTTGTGACATCTCCTCTGGCAGTGAGGGCGTTGCGAAGTTGCGACATCTGAAGACCGTGCAGAGGTTCACTTATGACGTCATAGGTCAGTGACCTGACCTGATTAAAAAATGCGGTTGGTGTCAAAAGATCCGGCTTGAAATAAAGGTCAGGTATGCCAAGTTTCAGCTCTCTATCGCCAGCGTGTTCGGAGCTATCGCGACAAAAACCCTATGGGGGGTGGCACCCGCCCCCCCCCCCCTCGGCCGGCGAGGGTTAAACCTTGCCAATAATGTATGAAGTCACGAGTTCATGTGCTTGAGGTATAGTTTTAGGTCATCATTACGGATTTGCATCATTTTACAACCGACGACCGTGCAGTCTGCAGAGGTTTACTTAACCCTCGCCGGCACAGGGAGGGGGGAGGGGTTGATGCAACCCCCCCCCATAAGGTTTTTCGCGAATAACTCGCGTAAAAAGCGGCCTATCGCGACGAAACTTTCAGTACCCTCGCATTGATCAATTTTACACGTTCCCTGAAAATTTCATGACCCTGACCCCAATGACCTTTGACCTGTGACCTCTTTTCCGTGACCATGTTTGGCCGAAATCGCGATTCGGCGTATGTCGGCTCGCATTAGCCGCGCGTTTGCAAGCTTTTCGTGGTTTCAAACGTTCAAACATGTGATTTGATGTTGCTCCCATACATTAGGGTGGGTGTCAAGGTCACCTGAAGGTCAGGTCAGGTCATTGACCTTTGGTGACCTCGGGTGACGTCGGTTCACTTTTTCGAGTTTTACATGTTTTTAGGCTAGTTTTTGGAGCTGAATTCGAATTTAGCAACCATTTGAACATTTCCGAAGTAGTTTTAGTGCCTTCGTAACATGTTACGAAGCTGTCAGAGGCGGTTGACACATATTACGAATACCCGTCACAACCCCTACCGGTTGACCTGACCTGACCTGACCCGACCTGGTTTAAATGCTTAAAAACATCATCTCTGATCAAAACTAACACGATATTCGTGATCAGCACCCCGGAAAACCACATAGCACCCACACTTTACGACTTTCTAGCAGGTCCCAATTTTCCCGGTTTTCGGGTCATTGACCTGACCTGGAAGGTCACCCGATGACCTAGGACCTTAAAATTGGGTATCATCGGCTTCCTCTCGTGACGGGCAGCACGCTCGTTTTTCCGCGAAGCTCTAGCTCGATCAGGGGCCAAACGCGAGGGGGGGGGGGTCGTACCAACCCCCCCCCCCCTTGTGCCGTCGAAGGACGCAAAATGGCCTGTGCCGGCGAGGGTTAAGACGACATAGTTAAGTGACCTGACATGAAAACGTGGTTGATTTCAAATGATCCGGCTTGAATCAAACATAAGGCATATGAAATGTCAGCCTTCTATCATTAGTGTGCTTTGAGCTCCCACAAAAAAAAAATACATGGTGGCGGCATCCACCCCTTTTTCTCGGCCGGCGAGGGTTAAACCTCGCTTCGAATTATTGCAGATAATGATGCGACCGAAAACAAAGTATTTATCTGTGTCTAGAACGGCCGCTGACTAGTTGGACAAGATCCCCAATCCTAATTTGCTAGATGGGAATAAAATACTCGGCATAAATTATGATACATATATACCCCTCGATTTGCCCTCGCGCTAAGTCAATTCTATTCATCACTGTCGCTTTTTTATCCGAGATGATGTCGCCGCTAAACGGGTTGTTTTGTTTGCTTGCTTGCGTTGAATGGTCATTACGGATTATTGAAGGATTATGATATACATAATAGGAATGGGGCAAGGGAGGATATGCACTGCAGTGCAGGTGTTTAATTTAGATCACAAAGGCATCATTTCCGGCATCGTGCAGTCACTATCTTCCCCTCCTCTGCACTGCGGCATCGCTGCGCCCCACACGCGGCGTCCTCACTCCACGGCCGGCCGCCGCCAACTGACCCTTTCGCCGGGCGCCGCGACCTGACCCGTGTCACTGCCGCGGCCTGCGCAATAGAGTCGGGGCTGGAATCCCGGGGTTCGGCCGGCCGGCCGCCTCTGGAGCGGGGGACTTTTTTAGTAGACCTACTGTACTCCACGCCGCGTAGTAGCGTGGGGAGGGGAGCGTTAGAATGGTGGCATGTGTAGAGGCTAGAACCGGTTTCCACCACCATGCCACCGCCCAGCGACATGGAGCGGGGTCAGTGACCAGGGCACGGGGAAAGGTCAGAGGTCAGCCATAACGTAGAGCTTTGTGTCTCCCTCCCCTCCGCGTGTAACGACCGCACGACGGCGGCCGGCGGCCGATCAGGCTTGACATGTCAAGGTCACCCGCAGTCAACGGGCCCAGAGGGTTGGTCGAGTGCGCGTCCGTGGCTGATGACAGTCTCGACCATGTGCTATGGTGCCGATGGACTAGCGTGGGTAATAAGCTTTTGTTCACTGCATATGGCTGCTCGGGTGCGTCATCTGATATGACGCTTTGCAATGTGTATGATACGTTTAAAACCTCGCTGTAATTGAATTTCCCTTTTACGCTGACATTTTGTCAGCATTTGCCGGATTTTCAATTATTTTTAATTATACCTGACATTTTTGTCAGCCTTAATTAAACGTAGTGTATTTTGATACGAAACGCCCAGAAACGAGTTTATACTGACATCGGAGCATGTCAGCCTTTGCCATGCAAATGCTGACATGAGGAATTAAACGATTTGGGCATCTGAGCCGGACGCCATGGTTTATTTCAGTTTTCCCTTCAAATTCGTTTTGGGTGGCCAACAGCCAACGCTATATGGAAGCAATCTAATCGATTGCGATTGCTTTTGCCGCATTTCCTACTGTCACACATAAAAACCGCTGAAATATTGCGCCATTAATTGTCACCATCTGTGCTCTCATTTCAAAAGATAAGTACTTGTATGTGAAAAGCGATAATGTGAACACATATATATTGCACAAACCGGTTTCGATATCACTTCATCAGTGTGCAAATATATAAATAAAACACACAAAATACAAAACGGAGACGAAAAATGTATTTTGTATTTTGTGTGTTTTATTTATATATTTGCACACTGATGAAGTGATATCGAAACCGGTTTGTGCAATATATATGTGTTCACATTATCGCTTTTCACAAACGTCAAACTGTCATACCACAATAAGTACTTGTATATGGAAGCAAAAACAACCCCTACATAATGACGTCATCAAAAAGAGTTTATTGATAATTTTACCAATTAGAAGGCCAATATTTGGATTATTTGCACTAAAACGTAATAATATGCATATAATTGACCTTTGGAACACATTTTACTTACCATGGTACATGTAATTCTCGAGATTGGAAAAAAAATATTTGACGTCATGTGGACCCCACATCACTTTGTTATTCACGCTGGAGACAAAGCTGACGACTGTTTAAGCTTTTCGGGATATGTTTGTGGTGGGTGCGCGTCTTATGAGTGATTACAAGGGAAGAATGGTTTCCTGAAGATAGTTCAAGACGTGAGGTAAGTCATATTCACGAAAAGAAATATTCAAGAATCACAAATTTAGTGTAGTTGGATTTCACTGATGTTAATAAATCAAAATAGGAAAGAACTGAGTGATTGAGCTAATCTTTCCAAACCCTACCTTATCTTAGGTGTATGCACACAAAATTTAGAGGCCATGTGGGCATGTAGGACCTGATCTTTACGATTTTTATTTCCTCTGTTGTTGCTAGTGTGCATGAGTGAAAAACATGAAAGTAGATAACCTTCATCGGATGTCAAGTTAGGATTCGAGGGCATTGACGGAGTGCCAGACTGGAAAAAATCCATGCTACCATCAACATGTCCGGCATAATTGGTGAATGGCACCAAAATTACAGCGCAGTGTCTGGCATGACTCAGTGTTCCAAAGTTTTGGAGTAAGGATGAACGAAAAAATTGGCGGAAGTGAAATTTAAGAATTTCAGAAATTCTGGAATGAGACGATAAGATCTGACCTTAGCTTACCTTACTCACTACACTCTACATTTGAATTGAGTACCCACCTTTCCATCAGTTGACATTCTCTCATGTGATTGGAACAGTTTGGATAAAATAGGTGTGATTTCTTGGCATAAATATCAAAATTTCAGTGCAAAACTGTTTGCGCTGAATTTAGGTGCATGAGAGCCACAAGGTGTTTGGCATAGTGTATGGATTTTTGCAGTCTGGAGTGAGGGGTCCAAGATATGCTTGGGTAGCAGTGGTGGCCGAACACCTTCAATTAAGGGGGGCACTGCTGACTTTGGACTTTGGTCCCATTCTTTCAATGCAAAGCCCATAGGGCTGATGTTAAAATGCCAAAATCAAAGGGGGGCATGGTTCCCCGTTGCCCCCCGTTCCGCCACCTATGTTGGGTAGGTTATTTCAACTGTTGACTGCCCTGACACTCTTTACTCAAGCTTGTGGTAATAGTAATCCGAAGCCTAGCATCCCACAAAGATGCCAGATATGAGATAGGGTTCTATGAGGATCCAATCCTTTTTTACCATATTCTACTTACTCGTATAGGTACATACCTACCTACTTCATGGAAAAACATTTGCATGCATGCAAGTAGGTACCTACCTACGTGCTTGCTTGAAGTATGAAGTTTCTTGGGCACGCAAACAGTGAATAATATGTGAGGCCTTGGTGTTCAGCTGCTTACAAACTGACTTCTGATATTATTCCATCATGCTATACTGACAAAAGAGCAAATATTCAATATGTGTCTGTTAAGGTATTGGGATGTATTTATGGCTCACCTGCTAAGTGGTGCTGATAGGCTTCCTCACCAGACCCTTCAATGGGGAAAAGGACAGACAGGAAGCATGAAGATAGAGATGCGCCAGCCGCAAATCTCAAATGGGTAAAGCATGGGAGAGGTTGGCAGGGGCGCGGGAACTACTTTCCGACTGGGGGGGGCACACCATAATAGAGATCAACCTAGGGTACCCCCAAATCTAGTTTTCTCACCGGTTTTAGGCCACTTATTTTTCACCCCTCGGCTTTTTCAACAAAAAAAGAAAACATTTGCAAAAAAAGTGGTATTCCGTCTCAAAGCTGTGGGGGCACCGCCCCCACGGCCCCAGAGTTGGGGGGGCAAGCTGCCCCCACTGCCCCCCCGGCTCCCGCGCCTATGGAGGTTGGGATGGTGTGTCTGCTGGTTATGTGCTGATGCTGTTCATTAGGTATAGTGCTTAAAGGTAACGTCTTGCACCTTAACATTAGTTTTGAGCTGACATAGTTATGTAGCCAAGTCTGGGGCAGTCAGGCTTAGAAACCATGTTCTGCCTTGGTCCCAAGTTTTACAAGTGCCTGGTGTTGAAGAAGTTTGTTGCTTCTATAACACATTGTGCCTTCACAAGGCAGTATCTCTAAACCATTGGTGTTGGTCTAGCAATGTCCCAAAATTTGTCTATTTGGGTGGGAAACGACATCCAAATGAAATTCATTTTCCACTCTCACCACCATTTTTAAGAACAATTTTCCACTCCCAAGTCCCAACCAAGAAAACATAGATTTTTTACCTATAGAAAGACAGTTGTGTGGATGCCCAGTTAGCATCAAACATTCTACACCCTAGAATAAAATGCATGCTTTTTGTCATTTCTCACTCCTTTTTGATCTAATCGAATCAGCAGTTTTCCACTCTCTCCCCTCTTTTTGGTGGGTAATTTTCCCCTCTGACACCCAAGACAAAACTCAATTTTGGGACACTGTTAAGTGATCTTCTTCTAGCAGCTCCATGTAAAGTGGAGCTAGTACGGCGCTGAGCGGGTTGCCCATAGCCAAGCCTGATTTTTGGACGAATTCTCTGCTGACGAATTGAAAAGACCCGAAGCTGACGCATAGTTGGACTAAGCCGATAAAATGTTCTTTCGGTAGGGGGGCGCTGTGTGTCATCGATGCCCTGTAGGACGCGGCGAACCGCACGCATGGCTACTTCTACGCTCACATTAGTGAAAAGTGACTTCACATCAAACGAGAACATCCTCTTCCCTCTCACATCTGCGTCTTTTAGCCGGTCGAGAAGGTCAGCGGAACTCTTCAGGTGTGAGCAGCTGATGCTCCCCAACGCGGCTGATAGTTTGGTGAGACATTTTGCGAGGCAGTGTGGGGCACTGTCCATCCCCGAGGTGATGGGTCGCATGGGGATGCCTTCTTTGTGAAGCTTTGGCAGACCCATCGTCTGTGCTGGTCTTGGGTTTCTCTTCCAAAAGGTACTGTAAACGCTTGCCCCTTTCTGATCGCCTTAGAAGTTTTCTGGCTTCTTTGTTAAACTTTTCGGACTCTTTCTTACAAGAGTCGGAAGGAACTTCCTCGTAGACGATGGCATCTGGGATCTGATAGGAGTTCGTTCATTTTTTCGTCAAATGTTGAACGGTCCAGGATGACAACACCTCCACCCTTGTCACTTGAGCTAATGACGATGTTGTCGCCTTTAGCGAGGTCTTTCAGGCTAAGCATATAGCGTTTGGGAATCGAGAGCTGAGAAGAGGAAGCCATCGTCTTCAGACATGTGACAAATCCTTGTTTGAAGCCTTTGTCCACCTCCGAGTCAGTAGACTTGATGTTTCTCATCATGAAGGCTAGGTAGCTTTTACTGTTCTTGCCAGTGTCAAATTTGAGTCCCAGTGACAGCGCTTCAGTTTCTACTTGACTGAGTGGCCGACTAGACAAGTTGGTGATCAGGCGAGCATCTCCAGCATGTTTTCAAGAGCTTGATGCGCAGAGCCGGGACAGTTTGCCCAGTAACAGTTGTAGGTGCCTTTTCGCCTTGCGTTTTAATTGTTCCTCGAGGTGTGCTGGAAAGGGCTGCCGGAAACGACTTCTTAAAATGGCTGCTCTGTTGCTTAAAGTTTCGGAGTTTCCACACCATCCTCTAGATAAGCTCTTGCAGCCTTTGAACGGGTGCTGTTTCGAGTACAGTTGACGAGGTGCAGAACGAGGGAGAACTTGCTCTTCTATGCAGTCTTTCAAAAATAATGCTTGGTTCTCAGTTCTAAAATATTTCTCGCGTAGATAATACTCTCGTCTTATTTCCAGCTCACCTCGAGGAACAATTAAAACGCAAGGCGAAAAGGCACCTCTAACTGTTACTAGATAAACTGTCCCGGCTCTGCGCATCAAGCTCTTGGAAACATGCTGGAGATGCTCGCCTGATCACCAACTTGTCTAGTCGGCCACCCAGTCAAGAAGAAACTGAAGCGCTGTCACTGGGACTCAAATTTGGCACTGGCAAGAACAGTAAAAGCTAGCTAGACTTCATAATGAGTAACATCAAGTCTACTGACTCGGAGGTGGGCAAAGGCTTCAAACAAGGGTTTTTCATATGTCTGAAGACGATGGCTTCCTCTTCTCATCTCTCGATTCCCAGACGCTACATGCTTAGCCCGAAAGAGCTCGCTAAAGACGACAACATCGTCATTAGCTCAAGTGACAAGGATGGAGGGGTTGTCATCCTCGACCGTTCAACATATGACGAAAAAATGAACGAATTCCTATCAGATGCCACCGTCTACGAGGAAGTTCCTTCCGGCTCTTGTAAGAAAGCGTGCGAAAAGCTTAACAAAGAAGCCAGAAAACTTCTAAGGCGATCAGAAAGGGGCAAACGTTTACAGTACCTTTTGGAAGAGAAACCAAGATCAGCACAGATGAAGGGTTTGCCAAAGCTTCACAAAGAAGGCGGCCCCACGCGCCCCATCACTTCGGGGGTGGACAGTGCCCCACACCGCCTCGCAAAATGTCTCACCAAACTATCAGCCGCGTTGGGGAGCATCAGCTGCTCACACCTGAAGAATTCCGCTGACCTTCTCGACCGGCTAAAAGACGCAGATGTGAGAGGGAAGAGGATGGTCTCGTTTGATGTGAAGTCACTTTTCACTAATGTGAGCGTAGAAGTAGCCATACATGCGGTTCACCGCGTCCTACAGGGCATCGATGACACACAGCGCCCCCCTACCGAAAGAACATTTTATCGGCTTAGTCCAACTATGCGTCAGCTTCGGGTCTTTTCAATTCGTCAGACGAGTGATTCAGTATTGATTGTTTTGTCCTCATGATCATGAAGCTCGTTTTAGTCTCGTTCATTTTCAGAGAGTTTCGTGGAAACCACTTTTCTAGTGCGGAAATAGAGCACTCGACTCAATCTCTGAGGTCAGTGATGCCGTTCTCGGAAGGATGGGCCCTGTCGTTCGCGCAAGAAATTATTTTACCATAAGGAATAAAATAATCTGTCTCCTGTCAGTGAGATAAGTTTCAAACCAGTGGGAAGGCATGCCACACCAGGCCAGCTTCTCGATGAGGGCGCCGTAATCGACGCTGTCAAACGCTTTGCTCAAATCCACTGCCGTTATCGACGGCAGCAGGCCCTGGTCGGTGTTGTCTGACACCCAGGTGACGTCGATCAGAGCGTCCTAAATCGAGTTTACAGTCTGTCTTAAAAGTACCTACCGCGCAAAGTAACGGTGGATCCATCAAAGCTGACCGAGGAAGAGCCTGCTGTAATTTGAAATTTACCGAACCAATTGACCTGTGGAATGGAAGAGGATGTCGATTGCTTCGGTGACGGTCAGGCTTGATGGATCCCCCGCACTGTTGCGCGGTACTTTCAAGACAGACTACATATACATACGTACAATATTTTCGGTTACTTTGGTCAAGACGCTCAGTAAAGATATGGGTCTAAAATTGCTTGGCAATGTGCGGTCACTATGTAGATTTAAAAATCGGCACAATGCACGTCGTTTTACAAGCCGAGGAAAAGACACCGGAGACCAGTAATGCGTTCACTCTGCGCAGCAGCAGCGGACCTTCCGCAGGGTAACACTGCCTGACTGTTAGCAGAGGGACCCCGTCGGCACCGGCGGCCGACAGCTCCGTCAGCGTCGCCGGGTGAGCTTAAACATAGCGGCGCAGACTCTCACTGGTCTTACGAGCCGCGACTTATCTTCACTCACTGTCACCCCTGCCGCCAGTCGGAAGCCCACAGGGGAGACAAAGTCATTGAGTGCGTCGGGATCAGGCAGTAGTCACATGGGCGTCATCACTTTCGCTCCCAGATGACAGGCCAAATTTCCGCATGGTGCTCCAAAATCCGCGAAAATCTTTAGAGAGCTTTTGCTGTTTAACTGCTTTTTCAGGGACAGATACAGCGCTTTGTCATCAGGCTGTGTAAACGGCTGCCAATCGGCTTGTGTAATGTTTTAAGCATTAATGGCCTCCCCCACCTAAGCTAGAGCGTCCTGGAGCCATGGGCAGTGGGGCCGGCGCGTCCGCACACTACATTCTGGACACTGTTTATCGGTTAGACTGTTCCAGGTGCGCATAAAGATGTCCAGCAGCACGTGAGCATCAGTGGCGCTACCCAACTCTTCCCAATCAGACAACAAAAAGTCCAGGCTCAGTGTGTCCCAGTCAGTGCAGAGCCGGGCCCTGCACCGTACTGACTCAGAGCATGCAACGGCGGCTCTGAGGGCTCTCTACCGGTTATGCTGAGGTGCCTACCGAAGGCACCACATAAGCCCTTAGTCTCGCTGAGCTTTAATCCCATACCGGCCTTCTGAGCGCGCAACGCCAGTGCACTAATGGTCCCACACCGCTAACTGTAAGGACGTCATACCGAGGTATCTGAGGGTCCCACATAGGCTCATCATGGCTATGGCCACTCACCGGTGACTCTGAGAGTCCTGACCGGCGACTCTGAGAGTCCTTCACTAGCCATCACCGGTCCCTGAGAGCACCGCCTGAGGGTATCACTCCAAAACCTCAACGGATCCCGCACCCTCAGTGAGGGCCCCACACCGACGCCTCTGAGAGCCCCAAAGGGTAACCGATAATCGAAGCGCTTCTGAAGGCGACACACTGACATCTTTACCACGCTGATCTTTTGGGTCCCACCCACAGGGCTTCTGAAAACAGTACACAACTTGCAATCACGCTGAACTCTTGACCAACGCCGGCCTCTGATGACCCCTAAGCTTTCGAGCCTGCCTAAAGAAGGCCTGTCCCATGCGAGAGCCTGCAGGACAGGATCCAGCCACAGACCTCTCGGCACTCACTCACTCAAGTCCTACGGTAGTCCGAAAACTTAATAAGTGCTCAGCTTCAGATGACTCTGTCACACTCATGGTGAGTCTGGCTGCGCGCATAGGGTATTACTCGTTGGCTCGGGAGGCTCACATCAAGCGATCGCATAGGGCCATTTCGGGGCTTCGAAGGTCGTTCGTGCGAACAGAGCGTCTCACCAGGCTCTCATGGGCTGAGTTTGCTTGGCGAGTCCCTTTCACTCATTGAGCCCAAAATGTAACACTTTGTGTTGGGCAGCGTACATACAGTGTCCGTCAAAATGTGTGCACGTCCCCTTCACATGCGCACGTTCAGAGTAGCAACCAAACCGTGATAGCCATGAAAATGAAACCTCGGTCCACACGAGATTCAGCTATCGGGCAAGTTTCAGCGCCATTCGCCGAGTTAATTGGTAGTTTTTGTAAGCGCAACAATTTAAGCAGTAAGCACCCCTGACCTGACACACGTCACGTGTCGTGTCGGTCACCAATATGCATCAAAAGTAGTTGTTACTTCATGATTGAAGAAGTAGATCTCCATCTCCCTGATATAGCACCGCTTGTCGATCGGTCGGACGATTGATGAATCCAATTTTTAGACAAATCCATTCACTTTCAGCTCAGTTGTGCACCTCGACGTGACCCCATCCTTTTCGATCACTTTCTCGAGGCGCTCGCGATACGCCAGCGCGGCTTTCTTGCGCATCTCGACAGTGATCTCTGCGAAGGCGGCTCTAGTCCGACCTTTCAACTCTAGAAAGTTCGCCGGCCGCGTCACGTATACCTTCGACTTCACATACCCCCACATGAAAAAGTCACACGGGTGAGGTCGCGCGAGCTTGGTGGCCAGGGCAGATTGGGCGAAGCGAGCGCGGTGGACAGAGCAGATTGGGCGAAGCTCGACCTCACTCCGTGTGACTTTCATGTGGGGGTTTGTGAAGTTGAAGGTATACGTGGCGTGGCCGGCGAACATTCGGGAGTTTAAAGGTCGCATCAAAGCCACCTACGCAGAGATCGCCGTCGAGATGCACAAGAAAGCCGCGCTGGCGTACCGGCGAGCGCCTCGAGAAAGTGATCGAAAAAGATGGGCTTCACGTCGAGGTGCACAACTGAGCTGAAAATAAATGGTTTTGTCTGAAAATTGAATGAATATAATCCCAAACGTGTACCTATATACAGGGCTATTTTTAAAGGGGGAAAGGGGGAATTTCCCCCTTCGAAAATTCCACTCTCCCTTTCAAATTGTGTCAGAATGGCTAGGGAGGGAAGGGGGAAGTTCCCCCTTTCAAAATTATTTTTGAGACCATTTTCAATTAATTTGCTATTCAGATTCTATAGTCATCGTTATTCAGATTCTAGTCATCAATCAACGTTGCTGGCGCTAAGATATGATCAATGAGTGTGGGCAGTGGCACCGCCGGGGCGGAACTTGGTATATCCGGAACTCCAGATTTGACCCGATACCGATCGGATGGTCGGTGAGACCGTCTCTGTGTTGTCTCTTCGCACTCACTCAAGGGTGGATCCAGGAAAACTCCAAGGGGAGGGTCATGTATCCAGAGGCGGATCCAGCTCAGAGGTTTGGGGGGGCAAACCATAAAAATTTATCGATTCTTTCAATGCATCGTCCATAGGCGTAATGTTAAAATCATGCCGTTTGGGGGGGGCAAATGCCCATTTTGCCCCCCCTGGATCCGCCACTGCATGTATCGAAGTGGTGCCCCTACCTATACCCAAAATTAAAAACTCAACGGATTTATGCCACTTAATTTTGCTGGTGCCCTAATTTCATTTGGGGGGGGGGCTGTGGTGTCCCTGTTAGGCCGCAGGTGCCTTTGACAGGTTCGTGGTGCCGCTGGAAGGAACGTGGTGCCCCTGACAAGTCTGACGTGCCAAAGACAGACCTGTGGTGTCCCTGACATCCCATGGTGTCCCTGCGAGGCCGGTGGACCCCTGCTAGGCCGGTGATGCCCCTGCTAGGCCGGTGGTGCCCCTGGCTGGCCTGTGGTGCCACTGCTAGGCCGCTGGTGCCCCTGGGCCCTGACAGGACTGTGGTGCCCCTGACAAGCCTGGAGTGTCCCCGACAGGCATGTGGTGCCCCTGACAGGCCCGTGGTGCTCTTGCTAGGCCTGTTGTGCCCCTGACAGGCCTGTGGTGCCCCTGGTGTGCCTGTTGCCCCTAGGCCCAGACAGGACTGTGGTGCCTCTGACAAGCCTGAAGTGCCCCCGACAGGTCCGTGGTGCCCCTGTGAGGTCGATGGTGCCCCTGGCAGGTCTGTGGTGTCCCTGGCAGACCTGTGGTGCTCTTGCTAGGCCGATGGTGCCCCTGCTATGCCTGTGGTGCCCCTGTCAGGCTTGTGGGGTCCCTGCTAGGCCGGTAGTGCCTCTGGCAGACCTTTGGTGCCCCCGGGCTCCAGGGGGGTCATGACCCATGTGACCCCCCATTGGATCCGCCACTACACTCACTGACATCGGTACTGGCGTCGGCTGGAAACCGGCGGGGGACGGGGGTCATGACTTCACCGAATCTTATTCCCCCTCAAGTTTTCCTGTAAAAGTAACCCTGCCTATGTAGTGTGAAAAAATTATCCAATTTGGTTAAGAATGCAGGAAGTTATTCAAGTTTCAAATCGGGAATTTTACGCGAGTCACCCTGTAGAACAAATTTCTTGAACGCCAGACATTAGGTAGCTCTGGTGGTTGCAACCGAGATAGATGAACCATAGTTTTCAGCCTGGCCACAGACTTGGCTATCTCAACTCAAAACTGGCGCAGGTAAAGGTGGGGCAGTACCTTTAACCATTGAGTTTATTGCCGCCCTGCAGCAGGTCAGGCACCTGCAACCCAGCAGCAGCCTGCACCAGCTGACGCCCTTCCTGGATTCCAGCGGCCTGCTCAGAGTCGGCGGACGACTTCGGCACGCCCAGCGCAACTATGAGACGAAGCATAAAGTGATGTTATCTGCCCGTGGAGTTATCATCCGGCTGATCGTCACCGACCCACACAGGAAGCTCGCCCACGCCAGGACGGAGCACGTCCTGACTCACCTGAGCTAACAATACTGGATCAGGTCTCTCTGCGGCAGAGAGACCGTGAAACGATTCACACGCGCTTGCACACCCTGTCGAAAAAGGTCAGCACAGCCGCTGCCACCACGAATAGGTGACCTGCCAGCCTTCCGCATGAGCGGGCCGGCGCCAGTGTTCGCGCGAGTGGGCGTGGACTTCTTTTGACCGATGACCGTCAGGAAACGCCGAAAACGAGAGAAACGGTACGGGTGGGTGTCACTTCACATGCCTGTTCACCCGTGCGGTCCACATCGAGCTCGCCCACTCATTGGACACTGACTTATTCATTATGGCCATGAGACACATGATGGCCAGACGAGGCAAGGTCAGACTCGTGTGCTCTGGCAAGGTACAATTCTGCGCGCCGACGAGCGTGAGCTGCGGCAGGCGCTCCAGCACTGGCACCAGTCCAAGCTCGCCGACACTCTCTCACAAGAAGGGTTTGATCGACTCTTCAAACCACCGGCCGCGCGGCACTTCGGCGGCGTGTTCGAGCACGCGGTCAGCCAAACGCGCCCTGGCAGCTATGCTTGGTGACAGGGTCGTTGACGACGAGACGCTGCAGACGGTGGTGACTGATGTCGAAGCGCTCCTGAACGGACGTCCGCTGACGCACGTCAGCACCGATCCTGACGTCTACCAACCTCTGACACCGAACTACTTCCTCATCGGACGAGCCTCCCCTCAGCTGTCGCCCGGTGTGTTCACCGACAGTGACATGTGCAGCCGACGGCGCTTGAAGCACACGCAGGTGCTGCTGGTTCATTTCCGGCAACGCTGGCGGCGGGAATATCTGCCCACGCTGACCGTGCGCTCCAAGTGGTTCAGGGACAAGACCGAGGTCAAGGTCGGAGAGCTAGTACTGCTGTCCGAAGAAAACGTAGGCCGCGTGGACATTGGCTGGTGGGACGAGTGGAGCGTGTGATACCCGGCGCAGACGGCTGTATTATTCTCGTTGTGGACGTGGCGACTGCCACCGGTCAATGTAGGCGGCCTGTCACCCGCCTCTGCCGACTGGAGTGCGACGGTAATGGCTGTTGGAGCCAGGCTGAAGTGTCTTGTGCGGTGTTACATAGATTTGTTTATGGTAGTGCTTCCAAGCTAGCGGTAGTCTCTGTTCGCGTACGTTCACTTCGGTAATTAATGTGAGTTCTGTGTTGTACGCTTTGCGATGGCTGTTGATGTGCCGACCATGTGACAGCACCTTCACTGCCGCCAGTGCCTCTCAAGCGTTTGTACTTAACGATATGTGCCAGTGTGTGTGTCAACGTCCAGCTGCTAAGACCGCTAAGACTGCGCCGTCACTGGTTTTATGAATGGTCGCGTGATTGTTGTCGGGAATGATCTCCGCCTCGGTGAGACACTAATGTGTATTGTACGCGAGTGTGTGTTTGTAAAGTGTGCGCGGATGCGAATAGTTTAAGCGTGTCAGTGTAGTTTGAATGATTGTTCGTTTGTGGTTTGATTTTCCGCGGATGATTGCGAAAAAACGGGCCGGCTATGCAAGCGAGCAAAGACGGCCGGCGCTTGGCACGGTCGGTCCGTCGCACCAGCGCACATGTGTGTGTCATGTTACCCCTGTCCTGGTTCTTATATATAGACAATATAGACTTTTATGCACAAATTTTTACATTATATAGGTATAGACTCTTTATAGACTTTTACGACAGAGGGCCCACGTGTTGTGTACCGTGAGGGCTGAGACGGGACGGGGCCGGACAGTCTTCGACGCGACTCCGCCGGTGCGAGGCCGCGCGGGCGTACGACGTGGCCGACGTGCCATTTTTTTTTTTTTAATAAATTTAGTTCGAATGTTTGAATGGACGGATTGACAGAGCCGAGGCCAATGCTAAGCAGAGCTTGTTGCGTAGAACCCGACTCCTACCGCCCGATCGCGCAATTCCGGGTAACGGGAGAATTTAGATGCCAAAGTTTAACGTGCCCTTCAAAGCCGGACACGGCCTGTCCCACTCGACTGACTTCAACTGGCTGCGGATGCTCCCACCAACCGCAGACGATCCCCGTCAGGAGTCTCAAATATCGAGCGCCGGAGCGACTCGAACCCGGGCTCTCACTACCGGGAGTCCGGTGCTCTACCAACTGAACTACGGGACAGGCCATAACGAGAACGACGAATTGCACTGCACCTGTGGTCGCCATATATTAACCTTTTTAGCCGTTTGGCTATCATTCCAGAATAGACTTTTACATAGACGAACAATAACTTTACATAGTACTCCAGGTGACGAACGAGCACGAGTAGTACGAGTGAACGAGTACGGATACGCGCAAACAGCAGGGGAAGAGCTGGGGGTAGAATATGCCGACCCCTTACATGCCGTGCAATGCATTAAACACCCACTGATCTATTGTTTTAACAAAAAGAAGACCTTTGGGGCCCTGTCCCTCACTTCGTTAGCACAAACAATGATTGGGGTCTGGGGGGCCCTGGCCGTTAGTCCCGGTTGGACGTCTGCTGTGCCAGGCAAGTGCTCTGCCTACCTCATTAGTGTTCTCATTTACAAAATTAGGGACGTACCCACGGGGGGGGGGGCGGACGGGGCGCGCACCTTCCCCTTGGGGCATGAGGAGGCCCCCGTATGGAATCAGGGCCCCCGTGGACTGAAGACCCAGGTTGACCAAAATCACGTCGGAGGCGAACGAAATTCACGGGAAAAAATCACGCCAGGACAATCAAGGTCCTCTGACCAGCCTGACAGCTAGGGTCCTTCTCGCTTCCTGGGGCCTCCTGTGAATAACCGTTAGTGTCTGTGTCCGACCGCTAGGGCCCCTCTGACTCCTCAGTAGAGAGGAGACCCTCTGTAGGTAGGAGGCCGTCTGTAGAGAGGAGGCCCCTTTACGAGTAGAGAGGGGGTCCTCTGTAGAAAGGATTGGAGGCCCTCTTTAGAGAGGAGCCCCCTCCCCCGGGATTCCACCGCCCCCTCCCCCCCCCCCCGCTGGCGAAGTCCTAGGCACCTGCCTGTACAAAGTCAACTCATTTCGTTAGAGAAAGTTATTACAAGAAATAATTTCGCTTTATACGGCCATCATATACCCACTCTCGATCATGACGAAGTGGCTCCCCGGTCAAGCTGCCTACTTAGATACTCGTCCTATCAACCTAGGCGTCAGGTCGGTCGCGCCGGTGCGGTATACATAAATTTGGCGGGCGTCGGCCGTGCCCGAAGTGTTCCTTTCCCTTTCCCCTGCCAACCATGAAAGAAACGCCGTTTTCCCGTCATGTCAGGATGTGCTGGCATAAGCTGACACGTTAATTAAACGATCAAAAATGTCAGCTTAAAAATGTCACCCTTAAATAGACGCTGTTTATTTGTGTCAGCCTTTGCTGGAAATTCGACTATGGATGGTAGGTAGTGGCCGAGAGGAGAAGAGGGGGGGGGGGGAGGCGGATGCCGCCTCTACATGTGTCTATTTGCTGATAGCCGCGAGAGCTGAAATTTTGGAAACCTGACCTTTGATTCCAGCCGAATTTTTATTACAGCAGCTGTATTTTAACCCTCGCCGGCACAGGGCGGGGGGGGGTTGATGCAACCCCCCTAAGGTTTTTCGCGAATAACTCAAGTAAAAAGCGGCCGATCGCGACGAAACTTTCAGTACCCTCGCATTGATCAATTTTACACCTACCCTTAAAGGTAGTGTGCCACATTTGAAAGATTTCCCATTTTATTTTTCCTAGGATAAGAAGCTTCTGTTTTTACCTAATATCGCAAAAAAAGTCAAAAATGGGCCTGGAATAGTGCCTTTTTCGCCTAAAAGTTTATCGGTTTTTCGATATGTATAACAATTGTAGTGGGCTCACCTGTAAACAGGCGTCGGCAACAATCGCGAATGCGGCGCACATGTGACAATAAGCAAAGGTCATTATAGAGTTACGACGTACGGGAATGAGTTATCAGCTGTCTAATCGTAGACAACACAATGTCGAGCCAACTGTAAGCCTGTATTGGCATTGTTTCTTTTATTTGGCTGTCGAACATTATTTATGGTTTGAAATATGATTTTATGTAAAATAATTGATATGAAAAAGCCGTCTCTTAAGTTATGACCCCATTTCACCACACGCAAGTGGCAGAAATGACAATGATCAGCTGACGCATTTTTCTTGGCCGAAGTCAGAGCGCGCGGCCCGACGCACCACCACCGCACCACAAAGTATGAGCAGAAGCCGCGCCCAAAGCCAGGGCCCCGGTAACGTGAGGTAGCCGAGTCGGGGCAGCGTGCGCTGACCCAAGCCGGGGCCGCAGCTTTGGGCGCGGTCTACCGCATCCCCGCGGGCAGCCCCGGGCTATCACATGACAACGGGAGGACGCGCGGCCCCGGCTTGGGTCAGCGCACGCTGCCCCGACTCGGCTACCTCACGTTACCGGGGCCCTGGCTTTGGGCGCGGTCTACCGCACCACCTAACAGGCGTGTTCGAGACCGCAGGAGATGATGATGAACGGGTTTATCGAAACTTGATTGGATGAGCATATCGGTAATAGCGATTTCAGTGTGTGCATTTATTGTTCATAGTGGTGTGAAATGTGGTTGGGGTACGACCGACAACCCGTCGGGGCGAATTTCGCACTGGGGTACTCAAAATTTGAATAATTTAAGACGTTTCCATGAGTTTTGAAGGTATGGATAAGTTCTAAAAATCCGGTTCTCCTTATCTGGGCCATTAACTCCATACGGTCCAGGAAAGCTGGCACACTACCTTTAACCCGCGCCGGGCCGGTGCTCTGAGATTCCGCGCCGGGCCGGGGGTTGGGGTGTCTGAACCAGGGTATATTGACTTACAGGGTATGGTCATTTGGCAGCCCAGGATTTGTGACGGATAATGCGCAGCAAAGACATTTCTGGCGCATGCTTTTAGCATGAGGATACTTTTTACAATATATGACGTAATTATTATTTTATTACAGTTTTTGATGATTTTTTGTTTTTGTTTTTACTTTTTAACCGTAATATAATTATTACTTAGTATTTACAAATAATCCATGTTTTTGTCAGTACTGTGGATATCTTTAAAAAAGAATTGACGTCATCAAAGGTTGAGTGAAACAATTTACTACCTTCACGTAAACTTGGTAGGTACCTTGTTGGTAATGGGAAAAATGTAATGTAAACATATATCAGGCTCTGTGCTTATGTTGATTTGTGGTAAAAGCTAGCTATTTATTTGAATTGTGGTGGAGTTTTGGTTCAGTAGGTATGATATATATATTAACCACCCGCTGAAATTCAATGCAAGCAATTTTTAGCTGAAATTTCTGCATCATTTGCGCTGAAAGCTGGGGTCGTGCTGTGAAACATCAAAGAACTCACCTGTTCAACTTACCTGTTTGGGGTTCCCTGCCTTTAAGAGTACAGCATAGAGGCGCAAATGTAAGCCCCAATAAAACAAGCCCCTGGCTGGAAGTTCAGACCCTCTTCAGACCCGCTCGCAGGATGAGTCTGCTGCTAGATTGACCAGCGTGCTGAAAAATTTGGTGACCACCATTCGCAGTAAAATTCTGCTGCAGCCATGCGCCGAAAAATTCAGCGGCCACCATGCGCTGAATTTGGCGCATGCGAAATTGCGCCAGGCTGAGACTTGTGCTGAAATTTTTTGGCGCAATTCTGCCATTACGCCAAACATATTTGGTGTATTTTTTTCAGTCTGGGCGTGGCCCATCCAGAGCAGCTCTGCGCTCCAAGGTCCTGTGGTGGTGAGCGTCTCGCCTCACCAGAGGTGGACTGGCGATGGATGCCAAGATGCCAGCTTTCAAACACCAGGTCCCAGAATCAATGTGTAAGTATGTACATTTACCTTTCCAGACTTAGCTCTGCCTTAATAATGCTGTGATTGCTTGGAAGACTAATAAATCTTGCATGCTTTGTACACAGGATGACTAGACCATTAGGCAAAACATTTTACCTGCATTAAAATCGTGCTAGTGAATAGTGACCAATATGCACGTTGCTTTCTTGTCCATAAACTATTTTTTGGAAGCATTGATTCAATGCAACTTAAATAAAAATATGTACAGTTGTCAGTTACACATAAGCAAATACCATTTTACTTATTAAATTTAGAGCTGCTCAGTGATTGCACAGTTTCTGAAAGAAAGATGGGTATCATGATGCCTGTTGTTCTTGATTATATGTTTTATAGGGGTGCTGCAGCGTCAACAGGCTCATGATACTTACTACCTTTTATTATGCCCTTTGTCCACGCCATTGACAATATTGTTCTGCAAAAAAAAAAGTATAAATTAAGTGTTTTTGCTGGATAAAGGGTGGGATTTATTTGTTTGTTTCTTTTTGTAACTACACGCTCTGCGGCTGAACCTCTACCTGTATGGAGTGTGCCGTGTCATGCTGCGCTGCATAAAAACGCATTATGTTATGCCGTCCTAATTGCCTCGCATCGTATCCTTTAAAGACAATAATTTAAGCGTGAGCGTAACGTGAAAGGCCACAACATCGAGAAACTCCGACACATTTTTCCCTATTTGTTGTCAGGTCTCCGGAATGGCGCGACAGAAAGTCCGGCCCGCCTACGAGCTGCTGTCTGCTTCGTGCGGTCTGGCCGCACAGACGTACTCGGTAAATGCCCGGAAAGGAGAAAGAGACAGCCTTCCTCTTCACCATTGACAGCGGCATGGACGTCCTCAACAGCTCGGCCATCCGAGGGACGCCAAAACACTGCGGAGAGGCTGCTCCGGTACTCCCGGGCAGGAGGACGCCCTCTCT